ATGCCGTTCTCCCACATCTCATGACCCACCTCAGTGGGGCAGAGCTGACCGGCAGGCGCGCCCTCCCCAGTGCACAATGCAATGCTCGTTCCTTCACCGTGGGTCCCCAGCACCAAGCACGTGTCTGACAAAATGGCCCGAGCGGAGAACCCGTGCCTTCCCTGCTAGGAGGCCCCTGCCCATGTGCTCCCCTCGCCAGGCTTCCCAAAGAATCCAGCGGTGGGCAGGGCTGGCTCCTGCCCTCCATGGTCATCCCCAGGATGGCCGGCCATCATCCTTGCGCTCGCCACCCTGTCACCATCACAGTTCCAGAGTGATATCTGACAGCATTTCTCATGAGCAAACTGTTATCTATGAAGCCCCGAGAGGGCATACCCGTCCATACCCATCCTGCACAGGAGGACTGCTCCTCCCTTTCCCATACATGTCCTTGGTGACTTTAGTAATAGTAATAACAAGGACTCGTACTGATAACGTGCTGCAGGGCCTACAAAGTGCCAAGCAGACCCGACCTCATGGGCTCCTACAACAGCCTTGCTTTCTGCCACTGACCTAGCACCCACCCTGCACAGGCTCACCGGGCATCTTCTCACAACCCTTTGGGCCACCTGAGTAGGGACAGGCTCATGCAGGAAAGCCTGGTGGTAAAGACCCGGGCTCCGGGCAGGCAGCATCCTGGTATCAGTGCAGTCAAATGCAAATGACCACCGAGACTTCCATGCAGTGTACGTGTGTGTGTGTGTGTGTGTGCGTGTGCGAGCACGTGTGCCCTAGGCCAACAGGTGATCATCTCAGCCAACCCAGAGAACATGGGCAGCTCAGTAACCACACACAACCCACCCCACCCACCCCTCAAACTTGCTCAGAATGTTCTCCATTTGAACAGGCTCAACTGGGAGTATGATGGAAAACAAAAACTTCAGGAAGAAGTAAATAATAGAGACTTAACCCACAGTCCTCAGGCCAAAGGCGGGACAAGAGGCCCAAGCTGCGATAAGTGGGGACAGGTGGCTAAGAGAGCTCCTGGATGGCAGGACAGAGGAGGGGTCTGTCGCGTGATCTTGGAAAACCACTCAGCACAGAGGCAGAGGGCCTGGGCAGACACCCTAGCAAGAGAACGTGGGGGAGTCACTTTGTCTCTCCTGGCCTTGGTATCTCTATTGGCAGCACGAGAGAACTGGATGAGAAGATCTCCATCTCTACCGGGGGTCCCCGGGAGGGACTGGTGGGAGGCTGTCAGCAAGGGAGGGAGCCCTGAGCCGAGAGCCAGTGGCCAGCTAGATTACGGAACCAGGTCCCCCATTCATCGGCTGTGTAAAGCTACATGACTGTCCCCCTACTCAGACCCTCCAGAGATAGCTCTGTGAGATCCTAACAGTAACATCTGTGCTCACGAGGGTTCTCGTGATGACCGCATACAACAAACCCTAAAGCACTACAGAAATGGGGGGAAGAGGAGGAGAAGGGGGTGAAGCAGAGGAGGAAAGGCAAAGGGAGGAGGGGAATGAGGAGGGGTAAGCGGAAGAGGAGGAGAGGTGCCCAGCCCTGCCATGCTGCCCTTTGCCACGCCTCTTCCATAGGCAGCAAACGTCTCCCTGAAATCTCTTCCTCTCCCACTTAACCCAGGCTCTTACTGAAACCGGCTCCACCTCCATGACTTCCCCTTCAAGGCGTGGCCATTCCTCACTCGTCCTCCTCGGCTCACTACTAGAGGCCAGCGAGCTGGAATACTCCGTGTTCCCCATGGCACTTCTAGGTTCTCCCCCTTCCCCCCTCACCAGTGGCCTCTCCTCCTCCTCCTATCGACCACCAATGAAAATCCTGGAAGCTGTTGTCTGTGGACACCCAGGTCACTCTCTTTCCTTCCTCCATGAGTCCGAGGCCTGCTCACAATTTTTGACTCCTCCCCAACTCCTGTCCTCATCCTAGAGGACTCAACATACACACCGATTCTCCCTTAAACACTGTGACCACTGGGTTCCTCACCCTCCTCACCTCCCATGAGCTACTCCTCTCCCACCTCAGCCATAGGCAAAGAGGGTCACACCCTTGATCCTGCCGTCACTCATAAAGGTACCACCTCCATGCTTCTGGCTTTTCACTACTCTCTCAGACTTTCCTGACATAACCCTGCTCTTTATCTGCACCACGACCTCCAGTCTCTCAACCTCTCACTTCTCTTCCAGGCTATCTTCCCTATACCAGCCATTCTCTCCTCCTATCTCCATCTTGAATTCTTCGTGAACTAATTTAACTCTACACCTGCTTCTTTTCTTAAATCCCTTACCCACTAATATTGCCAATGACACCCAGTCAAACCTCAGCCTTGGATCACTCGTGTTACTGGTCACCTTTCCAATGTGCTGCATGAAGGAGGAGAAAATCATGCCACTACTCTGACCAGGTCCACTCCAAATTTATCTTACACAAGTTCAACTGGGCCCTTACTGGTGCCCAGCAATCCTGCTAAATCTCTCTCATCAACTCACTCTCTCACTCTCCACAGCAATTTTTCCACATTTTCTCATCCCTCCTCAAACTTCCCATGGCCCTCCCACTACCCACGTTCTCAGCTGAAAATAGTCTCACATTTTACAGAAAAAAATTGAGGCCAAGTATCAGCTCCCTCGTCCCCCCTCTTCCTCATCTCCCTCGTCCCCCCTCTTCCTCATCTC